CACTATCCCATCTTATTAAAAGAACTTTCTTGAATCACATAGTCAAACATACAGTCTAAACTGAACACTGTTAGTATAGTTCATACCTCTCTGTCCAGAACAGGCTTTTTAACAAAGATGGATCCACTTTGTCTGTCTATGTAGAACATATCTTCCGCTGGATTCTGACCTATGATGCTATAAGCAATCTGAGAATTGGGATTTCCTGGTTCATCAGCATCAAATGCAGTGACTGTCGTAACCAAGGTAGCTGTAGCATTAAATGAAAAAACAAAACAAAACTCAATTTAATTAGAATTTTAAATTTTAAACAAAAATTAATTTCACATTCATTGACACTGTACATGAGAAAAACAGACATTCTGATCTCCATATTGATATTGTTCAGTGTCCTGCCCTGGTTTTAAAACAATGATACAAACTTGTCAAGAAGAGCTCCTAACTGTTGTGTGCCAAATAATGCTATTTACATAATGAGCAAATGTTAACAGAAAATTGTTATTTACAAGATTAGACAATAAATAAATATAAAATAATAATAATAGTGAAATAACATGAACTGCAGAACGCAGGCTGTCTGTAACCTCCAGCAGCTCATTGGAAAGACTTAAGCAATTTGATCACTCAATTACACAAACACTATTAGAAAAATCAAAATCCTTTTTGTTTAATTTATAATTCAATCATTTAGTTTTACACCACTCACTACCATTACAAATTTGAATGAGATTCACACCACTGACCTCTAGAACTGAGCTCATCTACTCCAACAGGTTCAACATCTGGAAATACTGGAGAGTTGTCATTCTCATCTACAACCTTGATCCGTAAGTCAATTTTTTTTTCTGCAATTGTGTCATTTTTGTACGTAGCAACACCAGACAACTGAAAGAGTAGTAGATAAAAATGTAACCATTGTTGTTCGTTATTTAGCTTGACATAAACTACAACGCCTTGCAGTGTGGATTAACCACCAGTAAAGGTGCATTTTACAAGTTTAGGTGACAAAGGTTAGTGAAACCAATTTAGTATCAGAGCAAATACTATATATTACAGTGAGCAAAAGAAAAAATATCTTTGTAAAGCGTTATATTATCATGGAAAAATTGGTCTTTCTTCTTTTCTATAAAATGCCATCACTTCATCTTTCTTTACACAACTATGACTGAAAATGGTATCATGTAACCTTTAACATGTTTCTAATTGGCCATTGATATGGTCGACAGCTGTGGTCACATGTTTACATACATTCATCATTGGCATGAGTGCCATGGTAGTTTGGAACTTTTAATTATTTCTTTGAAGTGGTCCCAATTATATATACAGGCTTTTAAGCACAGTCCACACATTTTCAGAAATCAGTGGCTGTTCGGAAGACCCAGTTGTGCCCAAGCTTCATCCTTACTGATGATTTGAAGTGAAAATGAAGACTTTGAAGTTAGTCTTTCTTCTTTATTATTCCATTCATTTGTGCAATGTATCAGCAGCACTGGGAGCAAATAGTTCCAGAACATGGTGCAATCATCACCATGCTGAAAAGCTGGTACAGGGTTTTCTGGGCTTGAAAGACCGAATAGCCTAATCTTTGTCTCGTCTGAGCAATAAAACGCAATTTTGGCTTGATCATGTGGGTAGATGTAAATCTGAGTCAAACTTTGAAGTCGTAGATTTTGGAGCAGGAGCTTCATTCTTGGTCAGCACCCTCTCAGTCCATGGTGATGTAAAACTCACTTCACTGTGCACAGTGACTCTGGTGTTCCAGCAGTTCCCAGTTTATGGCAGGCTTGAGTGTTAGAGGTTCCTGGATTGTTCCTGAACATCTGAACCAATGTCCTTTCATCTGAGGGTAACAGCTTGGATCTTCTTCCAGAACTTGGCAAAGTGGTGGCATATCCAAAAACTTGTACTTGTATATAATTATTTTGATGATGATCTTGGAATCTGTAGTTGTTTAAGAGTGGTGAGAGGTGACCTTCCTAACTTTTGTAGATCTGCAATTCCCCTCCTCAGTTATTCACTAAGTTCCTTGGACTTTACCATTGTTCTGAGTTCTTAGTGAATCCAGTGAGTGGTTCAAAAAAATCCTTTTTATGCTGTTAAAGAGAAACTACCAGTTGTAGTCAATCATGACTAACTCACTAACTAACGAGAAGTTAATGAGTCAGTCAGCCTGTACAATGATTGTACAGCCAAAATGCTGTACAATCATTTGGAAAAATGATTGACATTGGATTTTTTTTAGTCTTTTATTTAACCAGGTAAAAAAAAATCTCATTTCCAAGAGAGACCTGGCATCATGGCAGCAAAAGTCAAAAATACATGTACCACATGAGTACATAAAAAGAAGAGGTCAAAGAAATGGCCCAAAATTACCATGATATTCATTCCAATGATGAGTATTTGTAAACGTCCACCACAGCTGTAGATAATTCTTAAACTATGTAGACTAAAGCACTGTATGAATGTATTGCTTAATGTTTTTTATAGTCTGAGGTGGTCATTAAGACTAGGAAAGGCGTATATAAATGGCAGTCCATTTTGAATTATCTTAATATTTAATGTATTGAGGACAGCTGTTGAATCTTATTCAATACCAAAGAAGAACTACAGGAGGACTCACGTTGTAAATAGCGATCTCTTCCCTGTCAAGCACTTTAGTGACACTAACATCACCAGTATTCGGGTCAACCACAAAGACATGGAAAGGATATTTGTTTGCCCCAACACCTTCCAGGGAGTAGCGAAGATTTGAGCCAACCTGACGATCGGATCGAATCTGAAACACAAGGTGGAAGACTTCATTATTTCACCACATATGCACCAAAAAACTGAAGTTGTCTATTTCTTTAAATAATTTGTTTTTAACATGAATTCTTATCATGTGTGAAACTGATTTATTCATATTCTTACAGCTGGTGGTGTTAAATTGTCAAATAATAAAACATTTTTAAACAGTATGCTAATCATCAAAATCAAAATATTTCAATACATAAAGGAAATTAGGGGGTCACAGGTGCTCCAAGACAGGAACTAACTAAACTAAATTAAATAATATAATAAGGAAATAAAAGAAAGAAAGTAAAGAAATTAAGAAAGAGAGGTTAAAGTTTATTACAATTCTTCAGTGTTCTCTTATATATGTTTTTGGTTGCATAACTTTCAAATAATAATCTGAATGCATTTGAAATCACTGTCAGCAAGCAAGAAAACAATGGGCTAATGCTATTTTTCAGTGGTTTCTTACAGTTGATGCTTTATCTATAACATAAAATGTTTCAGAAAAGGTTAGGCGATACCTGAAGAAAAACCATCTTGGTGGCACTAAAAAGTCATGGTTAAACATTGAATTACTTCACTGTTACATGGGTATTTTTTGTTTATGACAGGCATTTATGCTTAATAATCAGGAGACAGAATTAAAGTAAAATTAAGTATCAGTGACTTACCTTAGCGATCGACTTCTCTTTAGTGTAATCGAAATTTTCCTTAAGAGGTTTTGGAGGAAGAACCCATTCTCTTCTTTTTCTTACCAAACTGTATCCAGAGTTGTGATTCTCCACAGCAAGAGCTTGGAGCTATAACACAACAGATGTTATTACGTCAGCATGAAATCTTACTTAACTGAAAATCTGGTGCTAAATTGTGTTAAATATCTTTACATGGGAGATCTTGGAAGAAATATTTAAAAACAAAAAAAAACTTCAATACTCTTACATAATAGCTTTAGTGTCTGTGACCCAGCGTTTATGTTTTGGGCATTTTTGACCTTGTTTACTTTTATTGTAGTGATCTGTCATCCTATTTGCTGGTGCTTCCTCGCTTCCTGATATGAATAGTTCTTAGTTTCTTGTTCGTTTAGTCTCGTCCTTTTTGTGTCCTAGTTGTCTGTCTCATGTGTTCCACCCAGCTTGTCACGCCTCCCTCGCTCTCTGTCGCTGTGTTGTGTTTCCTGTTTTATTTTGTCTGGTTAAGTCTGATTGGTTCCTCGTTCCACAGCTGCCTCCACTTCCCTGATCATCCTGCTGTGTATTTATTGGGTGAGTTTCCCTTCGTCCCTCGTCGGATCATCAGTTCATCTGCTCTCATGTTTAGTTTTGCCCCGGTTAGTTTTAATTTGGGTCCACTCTCTTTCCACTTCACACGATCTGCCACCGCAGACTGTGACAATAGCATTTAGGGCAAAATTAGAGTTTGTTCGATTCTAACCAATCAAATTAATATTTAGTATGACCACCTTTATTCTTTAACTTTCTTAGGCAAACTTTCTTGTAATTTAAGTAGTTTTCAAGAACAATGCTTGTCTCTTTTGCCTGCTAACTGCCTTTTGTCTCATTCTCTGTCAAGAAGTCTCTAACCTCTTAATACCTAGTGTGACATATTTGATACATACAGTTTTTGTGAGTTTCAAAACTTCTACATTATCAGTTAGATTTTTTCCCCCCTGAAAAACCTAAACAAGTGGCACAACACACTTTAAGTAATTTTAAAAAATGCCAGCTGTAGTAAATACAATACAAATTAAAAGTCACATATGAAAGTTAAAATCTTATTAATATTTAAACAGTTTTGTCAGATGGTTCAATAAACTCTCCATTTCTCCAACTTTCCAAAAAAGTTGACTTTTCTGGCAATTATTTTATCATTCACTGTGGGTTTTTCTATCCACGTATCATTTTAGTGTACTGACAGTACACTAAAATGATACAATATAACTGTTATACAGAAAAATGAAGCCACTCAGATGGTCCTGGCTATACTTCTGTTCTGTTTTCATAGTTCCATCAATTTTGACAAGAATTTCCACCATGTTTAACCATGGCTGTAGACACTCGCTGTTCTGCTTCTCTCCTGACCTCCTCTGTACATACAAAGATTTAAGACAGAATTTTCAAATGTGGATTCCTTATTCCATAAGACCTGTTAGCACTGATATTTACTTAATTCCTTGTGTAACTTGGAATACCTCAGCCTTTTCTCCCTGTTTTCCTATTTTAAGAATGCCTTGTTAACAGCCACCCTTCCACTAGGACCATTTCTGAAAAGGCTTCAGTGACCAATAGATGGACCAAATGGAGTGTGAGATTCTTCTCCTAAGCCCTGCGTCAGTTTTTTCTTGAGTTTTTCTTACTTCTTTAGACATAGCTTTAAGATGCTGTACATGTACAGCACATATTTTTTTTAGGCTGGCTGGATTATTTTTTGTTCTTCACTTTTGGATACAGCTCCTCAGATTTGTCAGGGACATATTAATGACATATATGTCAGCACTCTTAGGACCCAGTTTTATATTGATATAGTTTATTTTTGTTCTCACATTTACACAGACTTGTGTAAATGTCACTGCCACCATGATGATTATACAGGTTAGTGAGCTGTAGCCTAAACTACTGTATTTTATCAACATCAAGCTGTGCCAAACTGTGGTGACTGAGTTTGGCTTCTATACCCTGCTTCCTATACAGCTTCACTCTGATTTCATGTTTATGTACACTCACTGTTCACCCCTCTGTTCCAGACTTTCTAGCCTTAACTGGATGTTAAGGCTCCAATACTGTGTACAATTGAGATTATTCAGAATTACTAACTTCACCATTTCTATACATTTACCACTAAAGGTGTGTCACTTGTATTGCCTCCGATATGAGCAAAACTACACAATTAACAATATGAGTGTCAAAAGTGTCAAAACATTAAAGTAATGTTAAATGGTTAAACAGAGAGACAGACAAGGAAACCTGAACAGACATCGAAAAGATAATGAAACCAAAACTAGAAAAAAAAACCCATTTCAAGTGTATCTGATATCTGATATCCTCGTGTTTGTGTTGTTCCTGTGATATGAAAATAATGCTAGTTCAGGCTTATCATTGCATTGTATGTTATTAATGTTGGTTTATTAGTGATAGTTTTTAAAAACTATATTGTCATTATAATACTGGTCCAGGATCAGCATCACAACTGACCAATGGCAGTAAATAATAGGAACAACACCAGCACACTTCATCGCATACACCCTTGTATATCATACCTCTCATTAATCTAAATGGAAAGGAGCTGAAAGTAACTTTAATGTAAACGGCTCGACCTTTTCATTTTCTAATCTAATTTTTTGAAATTGGAATCACCAGTTAATCTAATGTAAGTCGGTAAACAGCTTTCTAGCTGGTAAAGTATTGGCATCACAGGAGAAACACACCCAATCACTCCATCTAGAGAAAAAATTCACATGGAATACTTCAAGCTTCCAGAGAAGGGAGTGCCCTCACACTTCTAAGTAAACGATGTGTATGCAATAATGGCTAAACATTTTCAATTACACCTAGTTATAACTACTATCATTTTCTGAAACATCTTCCAGAATTCAGATAACAAAAAATAAACAAAGACATTTCAAAACCAGTTTGGTTAAGTGGTGAAATAGCTTTTTCTTTTTTGTCTTCTTCTTTACTTTTTAAATTAAAAAAAGCACTGAACTCACCGCAAACACCAGCAACACAAACACGGGAAAAGAAGCCCGAGTCATGATCGGGGAAAACTCCAAACGAATGTTATCTGATCAAGTGAACCGTCAGAGTTCTGGAGGCTATGCTTCCTGAATGTGCCAGCTGAAATGAGATGAGGTGGCTTATCACAGAGCTTATCAAGGAGGAGGGACTCTTTCTCCCTCTCTCTCGCTCAAATACACAATGACACACACACACACACACCCACAGCATCAAAATCTAGAAAAAATAGATATGTATCTACTATCATCTTTTACATGACTGTTCATGTAAAGACTACTGTGTAAGTGTGTGAAGTGAGGGCAAAGCCAGGGCCTTGTAAGATGAAGCATGTTTACATACCCAAGGTAACTTTAATGCCAGCGTTATCTGGATTCACTTATCACAACATCAGCAATCAACTGTTACATGTAGCTGGATAACAACATGCTAAGTTAACCCAGGTTTCATTCTAAGCATTTACATGACAGAGTTGACGTTGGCAGCATGTGGCCATTCGCAACTATAAATAAGTGTTGTGCCAGCAGAAAGACTAATTTTTCAAGGGCAGATAAAACTTTGTAGCCTTATAAATGTCTGTAATAAATAATAAAATTATTAATAATAAAAATGTTGGACAGTAGTTTAGTATTAAAAACCTGTTCGAATGTTTGCGTGCTTTGGTCAAGAACAGAAAAGAGCTACTATTTTTGGCCTATGTGTAAGTTAACAGACTTATCAATATGACACTGATATAGTCGACACCTTCATAACTTATTGCTATCATAGGTTTGAGGGGTCTTTCAGCAATGATGGCACTTTTTTCCAAAGAGACTGGTCAGTTGTCAGAGATCAACAGATGTAATTCTATACCTGCTCCAGAGCAGGTGAAGTTTGAGAAGGAGATTGCGACACTGAACGGAGGGAGACAGACAAAAAGGACGAGACAAACAAACCTAAAGACAGGACTGACTTAACTGGGAGACGTAAACTAGAAATACTTATAAACTCAAGAGCGCAAGCAAACTGAACTAGAAAATAGAAAACACACACAGAGAAGATAATAATGAATAAAATAGACTCAAAATTGTGTAAACAGAAAACACTGGGTCAGTAATCCAGGTAATTTTCACTTCAGCCACAGTTTATTAATTTAAAGTAATTTATTTGTATCTATGTATTATATGTTGTTTTCCTTAATATGTCAATATAGTGAACTTGGAAAGTGTTAACCAAGGTTCCATGCAGTCTGATTTTTAAAAATTTGTTTATTTTTTTCACCATGAGAAGAGAGACCCTTCTGAAAGAAAGCAGATTTAATTCACTGTCCACACTTACATTAATTATTCATGATTTCTTAGACTTTTCACATTCAAGTTTGAAAGAGTTTTTTCTGTGGGCTTACCAGTCAAAGTGTGAAATTCTTTTTGAAAATAAAATCCTCTCTAAAGAAAGGGACTGTCCATACTATGAACTATTTGTTTTTAAATAAATGGTAAATGGTCTGGTTCAGCAGCACTTTTCTACAACTTTCCTCTTTTTTAATCTATGCTTGCATGCATCCTTCGATTGACGCATCACAGAAGGAGCAGCCGGGATCAGTAGATGACCTGCTCTACTACCAAGTCATTACTGTTTATCCAGGCCCAAATTAATGAATGTGTCGAAAAGATTAGAACAACATACATGATTTTAAAGCAACCCTGAATTTGTTGGATGAAAATATTAAGCAAAGAACAACAGTGCTCACTGTTGGGTTTGATAATGTGTGCCACACCCAGACAAGTCATATAGTCTAAACATGTATGTCATTTTTTTTTGGTTAGGGTTTTTTTTTTTTTTTTTAGGTATATACCTTTTTTTGGGCACTCAGATATATATCCTTATATGCTGCCATGAGTATTTCCCGCTCATGATTTGGATTTCTTCTGTTAGTTTATACTGGCCTTTGTTGAGTGTGAACCTTGGTAATCCTTGTTTTTATTTTAAGCCTGTGTTCTATTGTCATATATTCACCATAGATATGGTTTGTTTGTGTAAAGTGCTACAGCCTGAAGATAACCTCCTGGCTTCTTCCAACAGGCAGAGTTGTGCCGATATATTCACACAATGTATAGCATTGTCTATAGCTCAGGTAATAGCATTTTTCTAGTCTTAGTAATCACCCAAAGCACTCCAGACTACAAGCCAGACTTTACCGATACATTTGGATAGCACTTCCTTCTGTACATTTTACTTCTTCATCTAGCTCATATGATTAACTAATTCGGAATCACCAGTTAACTCAAAACATGGCTTAAGACAAGGGAGGGAAGGAGCAAATCCCATACAAGTGCAGGGAGAACATGCAAATTTTTTACTTCTGATATTTATCTAATGGAAAAACCAACTGAAATGGGAGAGAAATTCTGTGGAACTCCATAATCAACTTAAGTGTTTGGAACCGTCCAAGACTGTCATAGTCAGGAAAGGTGTGGTGTTTTTCCACTTCAAAACAGGTGTGTCTCTATGAGTCATCATGCTACAAAACCAGTTTTTAAGGGCACTGAGTTTCTATCTCAGGGCAGCTACTGCCGTTGGCAATTTGGATTGGTTTAGGTAGGGAAAAAAAGTTTGCTGCAGAATACAGAAATAAAAGCAGCTGAAGAAGGGTTTTTGGCATGGTTAGATTGTTTTTGTCAAAACACAGGGAGGGGCCAGTCGACCAGATTCAGTGTTCTCACGTCCTGTTCCAGGAAGTTTCACAGTGTTTGTAGATTGTCAGTGAATAGATTTGTAGTTTATTGTATGTTCGTGTTAAAGCTTTTACAGTTTTGCCTGAAGGTTGTAATTTTGACAACAGGAACAAGATGACTAGGTACAAATTTCAACCAGCGAGTATTGAGATATAGGTATTTGGCTATGCAGAGTAAAGCACTCTCAAGTAAAGGAGTATATATATATATATATATATATATATATATATATACTTATACTTAACTTTACTTTAACTAAGTGTTAAAGTAAAGTTAGTAAAGTTAAAAGATGCCACTGCATTTTTTTGAAGACTGCACACATATACATGTGCGTAGGTTGCACACCCCCTCATTTCAGACACTCCCTCATATGCTTCACTCTGCATAGCCAAATACCTTTGCAAATGACACAGTCACAGACAGAGACGGTGTGGTATTTTCTTTCACTTGAAAACAGGTGTGTCTGTATGAGTCATGGTCCCAGAAAATAAAAGTGTCTATAACGTCAGTTAATGTCCATCTTAAACATCTATTTTCATGAATTCTGCATGAAAAACAATTAACAAAAGACTATCAATGGGAATAAAAAACACTTTTCACTGACCTATAGCAGGATGGTAAATGTATTAGAAAGTCAACTAGGCAGCCAGAGTCTGGAATGTCTGCTGGTGACTACCCATCAAAGCAATATGCAAAAGTGAATTTCTTCCTGTATGGACATGCTTTTAGACATTCACTGTTAAATGAATGACTAAGTTAAAGGAGGGGGTTCTTGCTGTCAAAAAGTCCACTGAATCTTTGGGAAAACATAAACAAAAGGTTTTTGTGCCAAATTCTGATCACACACTGAGTCAAACAGTCAAAATTAAGGTAAAAAAATTGTCTCAGAATCATTTTCCTCACCAAATCCAGATTTTGTGCCTCCATTAATTACACTAAGATTGCTGTTGCTCTTTGTAACCTATGGCCATTGGTATTTGTAATTTATAAATATTACATCATTATTATTTATTATTCATAACGGTCATGATCAGAAGAAGAATAATTTATTAATTATAATACATTGGGAATCTGCTTTATCACAGTAGCTAAAATATGAAAAAAATCATGTATAATTAAGTGCATGGCCAGAAACAAACACATACTGAATTTCTCAGTAAGTCATCAAGTAATGTTGGGAAATTTTTAATGGAACCAGAATGGTTCCACAACAAACATGAAAACACAGGGTGTAAGGACGGTGAGGTGTGTCTGTCTGGTTTTTCAGGTTAGGCCTTCTCTGTTATGTCCCTGATCCCCTTCCTTTGTCCTCTGTGCTTAACTAAGCTCCCTCCACACTCGAGCTTTTACAACATTGCCTCTATAGTTTAAAGAAACCTGTTGTACATTACCATGAGAAATTACAGATGCCACTCAAAAAAAGACGATGTCTTTCACAAAAGACTAGGGAACCTTTAAATTTTGTGTGGTTATGGTAGTTTTACAACATTATTTGAAAACAATGAAGTGATGATTAATGTAGAAATATACTTTACTGTAGCTAAATTATAAAATACTTACGTCTGCTAGACCACATTATCAATAAAAGTGCCATGTATTTTATAAATGAACTATAATGGCAAAAAGACTGTGAAATATCTGTGTATGTATATAAAACATTATAAATAAATGCATATGTTAGAATTTTAAAAAAAAAGCAAGCACACTGTATTATTAATTAATTAATTAATTATTAATCCTTATGATTAATTGCAGAACCCACAATATGTTTCTGTGTCACGTTACCAGCTTTATAGTTGTGTGGACTGAATTAATGTGATGTTTAGTTACACAACCACATAAAGGGGCGACCGTGGCTGGTTGGGAAGCGCATCTGTAACCGGAAGGTCGCCGCATTTTGCAAAAACAAACCAAGAGTTTCTCACAGCAGAGAAACGGGATATTCTTCGATGGCCAAGTGTCTTGTTCTCACCCCAATAGACTATGCTATTATTTATTAAATAAAAAAACACAATGTAGAAAGACCCACAACAACCAGTAGCTTAAGGTGGCTGTGAAAAAAAAGACCTTACATGACTGAACATGTATTACTTGTTTGGAAACCATTCAGATGCCATGTTAACAGTTCACTGGAATTCTCTTCTGCGGAAAAGAACAAAGCTGTGACAGGTTGGTTGTTAAGTCTTGTTGTTTTTATGTAACATAACACTCGTTTCCAAGAAGGAAGTGGCTCAGCAGTCAATTCCATTTAATTATATCTCTTCTGTGGAAGCCACACCACAAACTACATTAGCGGATAAAATATAAAAAAAAACACAAATATAACAACACTGTCTGGGTGCAGTGGAATCATGCTTAACCAGCATGTATGTGTCATCAACGGA